ATATTTTCTGTAGAGTTCTTTCCTACCCAGGCTGCCCTGAGGCAGGGAGCCCCTTAACTCTGGTGCCACCAACAGCTATGGAGGGGCACAGGGGAAGTGCAAGGGGCTTTGGGGCCCTCTGGGAAATGATGCAGTTGGAATCTGCCCAGCAGGAGAGGGGACAAGGGGGTTGCAAGGTTAGGCTGGAGCCAGGCTTGGGAGGGGTAAAATTCAAGGCTGATAAGTGGAGGAAGCATCTGGTAGCTTTCAGGGGAGTAGAAGTGAATCAGTAGCCTTTTGGAGGTGGATCTGTCCCTTCTATCTGGCACGTCACCCCCCCCCCCAGCACCCTGCCTGGGAGGGAGTTCCCAGTGTTTTCCAGGAGCCCCAGGTAGCTCCGTGAGCCTGGGGGACCTCAGATGGCAGAGACCTTACACAGGTGGGATCCCCCACAGTGGACAGCAGATGGGGCCAGGAGCTGGGCCTATATCCCTAGCCCACCTCTGCCCACTTGCCTGCCATGAGGCTCCACAAGACCTGAGTTCTGCAGACCTCGGCATCAGGCTGCGAGCTGGTGGCAGCAGGTGACCCAGTGTCCCTTTAGTGGGAGCTTTTTGGAAAATTCCACTTCAGGTGTGCGGTGACTTGGAGCCACCCCCAAGGGCTCTCTGCTTTCCTAGTACTTGACCCTGGAGGCCTCCAGTATCTGGTACCTCTTTCATCTTTTGATTTCTTTGGTGCATTATAGCTCTACATAGTAGCTGGGTTCATTTTGACATAATCATACATGCCTGGAATTTAATATACTCCAATTCAGTCCCCAGGAGCTCCCTCCTCTCCCTCCCCCTTTCCCCTACACCTCCTCTTCTGCTCTTCTGGTCTACCTTCCACTCATTTATATAATCAAAAAATATTTTTAGATGTTGATGGACCTTTATTTTATTCATTTATTTATATGCAGTGCTGAGAATGGAACCCAGGGCCTCTTCACACATGCTAGGCAAGCGCTCTACCACTGAGCCACGACCCAGCCCCTCATTTATATAATTTAATTGGTGCTTTATAGATATACATAAAGGTGGAATTCACTGTTATATTTATATGCATGCAGTGTAATTTTATCAGTAATTCTGCATTTCTTCTGCTTTCCTGTCCCTCCTCCCTCCCTGTGTCTGGTACCTCTTAAGGATCAATGAGCCATGGCCACAGGAGATCCAAGTCCTCCCCCATCCCACTCCAGGCCATAGCTGTAGGCTTTGGAAGACCCCTTTCTTTCATTGTGACTCTTTCTTCTAGTCAACCACTTGGGATGCTCTGGAATGGGTGACCTTAGGTTGTGAGCCAGCCCTACCTGGATCAAGGCCCTCAGTAACCTGAGATCATCACGGGGTACCTAGGACAGTTAGAAATGCAGCAGAGATGGAAGGTCAACCACACCACAGTGGTAGGACTCTATTGTCCCCACCAGCAGTAGCAGCAAGTGGTAGGCCTCACAGAGATGACAGCCCCTGGGAGCTGCAGATTTCCCCGGCACAGGGCTCCCCTGGCTTAGATCGGGCTCTGATGACAAGGCTGAGAGTCTTCATTCCCTGGACCCAGGTGGCTGTGATTATTGGAGTCTTTGGTCACCCCAGCCAGCTTACTAGCACATCTTCCTTATGAATGCAGCATATGTTCGCTGTGGGGAAACTTTAAAGTTAACCAAACATACATGGGCAGAAGATGGGCAGCTATGCTCACATATTCCGTTAGACATTTTTCCTGTGGATGGTGTTTCAAATCCTTTGATTATACTCAGCATGTCTTATAATTTAAACTCTTCTTCTGGCCTATAATACATTCTTTATGATTTTAAAATACATTAAAAACTTTTTGACACACACTGTGCCCTATGAATATGTATATGTAGATTTATATTATGTATATAGTATATACAATGTAATAGATACAATATTCTATTGTACATATTTATAGGGTACCAGTGATATTTCAATACAGATCAGGTAACTGCCATATCATCACCTCAAATATTTGTCATTTCTTTGTGTTGGGAACATTCAAAATCTTCCCTACTAGCTACTTTTAAATACACAATTGTTGTCAACCATAGATGCCCTACTGGGAGCTACAGAATGCTGAATTATTCCTAACCAACTGCACTCCTAAAGGTTTTATGATGACTGCATTTGTCATTCTATTTAGTCAGTCTTCCAGCTTGTTGGACATATTTTGTTCATTTTATTGTTGTAAATAACACTGTGGTGACCATCTTGTTAGAAGTTTCTGCCTGAATTTGGGGATAATTTTATAAGGCTCATGCCCATAAATGTCACTGGACTGAAGGGATTCTGTTGCTGCTCCTTCCTTTTAGGAATGTGCTGTTTCTACGAGTCCTGCTTTCATACATTCGCTGCTTTGAATCTCCTGCAGACTAGGAAATAGACACCCTTGTTAAAACTGAGTACAACTCCAGATGATGGCCGCATGTGAGGGGCCAAGGCGGCTCCTAGAAGCAAAGTACTGGGCTTTGTGAGGTAGATCCTCCAAGTCTGGGTCCTTCTGGGTCCATTTCTGGCTGTCTCCTATCCAGAAATTCCTAATACTACCCAATTTCCAGAACCAATCAGAGAAAAGCAAATTCTAGGGGTTGTGTCCTTAAAATGAGTTTTCTGATGAGGTTCTGACAGCCCTTGGACCAATGGGAAGCTCTTCAGAGACAATGCCCCATTGGGCTTGGGCCCAGAACCACGTTGAGTCCTAGCATGGAGTGTGATGCTGCTACTAATTTTATTCATGCTGTGGACCCTGGTGGCTCAGAACAGGAGTCTGGGTGGGAAGGAGGATGATGATGGGTAAGACATTGTAGGCAGAGCTGTGAGACCTGGGTTGAATGGCTTTGCCTCCCAGCCTGTTTCCTCACCTCCAAGACTCAGCTTGGCAGGTTATGAAACTCGACTGTTTGGCACTTGGGCTGACACTGGGTGCAGACAAGGCATGAACACGATCCCAGTCAACACCTATGGATAAACGCCACATCTAGGGGCAGGGAATAGGGGCACAAATATGTGCTGGGGAAATGAGGTCCCTCTGGAGAGATGAGGGGCATGACAGAGGCCTCCAGACTGTGTGCTGACATCCTGCCCCACTCAACCACAAGCCCTTCTGTCCTTCTCTCTCAATACTCATTGTTGGAGCTCTGGTGCCCTGGTGTGCCTCCTGAGGTCTTCCAGGCAACCATTTTCCTTAGGACAAAATTGCATATATAAATGTACATCTGTCTGTCCTGGGAACTCTGTGAGGGAAGCAGTTGAGGCTGTGGGCCACTCTAGTGTCCCCAATGCCCAGCAGGTGCTCAGATATGGTTTCCATAGATATTGGACATCCCAGGAAAGGCATCCTCACTCCTCTGAGGGAGGATGAGGTCAGGCTGGAGGGTCTCTCCTCATGGTGGTGAGTTGGCCAACATACTTTCTCGATGCTGCTGGGGGCAGGTGGTGCTGTGGGGACTCACTCTGAGGTTTCTCTGAGGCAATGGGCAATCGGGGAGGAACTGAACTGCTGAGAGGTGCAGGGCTGTTTGCTGTTTTTGATTTTGTCAGACTCAAGAGTACACATGTCTGCTAGACTGCATCTAGCAGACATGTGTACTCTTATAACAAAGGGCAAGACACGGGACAAGTCACAGAGCCAGTGTAAGTGACCATGGACTCCCAAGGAGAGGCTCTGAATCCTGGCAGCAGGTTGGTGAAGGTGAGAGCAGGGCAGACAGAGGGCGCCAAACACAAACCTGTGGACCACAAACTCTAGTTCTAGATTCCTGACAATGGCAGTTTCTTGTCACTGTAGCGTTTTAAACCCCTGAGACTCAGAATTAGGGGTGGAAGGGAGCTGGGGCTCAAGGAACACCATCAAAGCAGGCTTGCTCATCCCAAGTATCAGTTGTAAGAACTGAGCAGGGCTGAGGCAAGTCTGTGTTCCTGTTAGTGCTCAAAACCAGCTGCCAGGTTATTGTTTTTGCTTAAAACCACCAGAAATTTAAGCATTTATTATGCACCAAATACTGTGAGAAATGTCTGTGAGGCCTCTCTTGCATTCTATTGAGACCACATTTTCAAATCTCCACTCTTCTGCCGTGAGACTAGGTACTGAATTTTTAGAATTCTGACCTGGGGGAAAAAACACAAGTTAGGAGTTCCCTGCCCATCCCTAAGGACAATGGCCCACTGCAAGCTTTCAGACTACCTATCCCGCAGCTGGTCTTTCATCCTCCCACGGATTCAGCTGTAGTCTCTGGAGTTTCCCCTCTAGTAATTATTCAAGCTATGAAAACCCTCAGGACTCCTAATATAAACCCACGCCTTCCGGCTCCTGCCACTGAAGTCTTTGCTCTTGCTATGATGTCCTTAGGATATAATTTCAATCTAACAAATACTCAACTATCCAGTATTTGCCAGGCACAGGGAAAAGAGCAGCAAATCAAATAAGCTCGGTTTGGCTCAGAGCCTATATTCCATAGGGGGGATGAGAATCAGTTACTTGTGAGATTTCCTACACACTAACTCAGGGCCTCACTCAGTCTCTCTTTAACCCATCAGGAGGACTTCTCTGAGCCATTTCCCACTCTGTTAAACGGACTTGATCATAGATTGCATCTCTGGAGATTTTGCAACGCTGAAGCAAAATAGGGCATATAAACGTTAGGCCAGTGGTTCCCAAACTTGTCTGCACCTTACACAGCTTTCAAAATGCATTTGCAAAGCCTGTTGCAAACCTCCGGAGGCCACTGGCATGCAGCGCTTTGGAATTTCAAAAGACTCAGGTTTAAAAAGCAGACAGATTTGGGAATTAAGTCAGGCACCGAGAGAAAGCGCAACGAGCGAGCAATCAGAAAAGTCCGTTTTACAGATTAAAAGGCTAAGGCCGGGCGGGGAGGGTGCCAAAGCGCAGTTCCGGAGCCACAAACCCCGGACGTGAGGCCGGGTCTTCCACACAGACCACCTTCCCTCCGCCGGCTGAGCCCGGCCATCACTCCCACACACCTGCAGGGAAAAGGCTCCCATCGATGCGCTCCGCCGCTCTGCTCCCCACGCCTGGTCCTTGCCCATTCGTGCCCCTTCCCCCTCCCGGCCGCTTCCCACTTCCAAGATGGCCGCGGGTGGAGCCGATCAGGTAAGGGCCCCTGTCGGACGCCTGCGGCGGCTCTGCAGACACAAAGGGCCTCTCAGAGCTCTTTCGCAGCTCCGTTAGGCCCTTGCAATAAAAAAGGGCCAGGGATGCCGCTCTGGAGGTCGGAGGCTGCTGGACCGACCGGCTTTCAGCTCGCAACTTCGCAGAATCCGCGGTGGGGGGCGACGGCTCCCGCAGAGGAGCTGACGCAGTCCGGCAGGGGGCGTGGCGACGGGGCGCGGGGCGTGGCGAGAGCGCGTGGGGGCGTGGTGATGGGGCGCGGGGCGTGGCGAGAGCGCGTGGGGGCGGGGCGGGGCGTGACGAGGGGGCGCGGGGCGGGCCGAGAGCGTGCCGCTGTTGGCCGCGGGCAGCTTGCGCGCACCTGCCTTGGATCCGCTGCCCGTGGTGCGTCGGCCGCCCTGGCCCAGCGAGTAGCGGGTCCCGCCAGGCTTGGGCTGCGGGCCCACTGGCCGGGGATGGCGTCGCAGCTGCGCTGACTGCGGTACTGAGGGCTCCGCGGGGGCCGGGCCGTGAGGGCGGGCAGGCGCGGGCCGCTGCCACCTGCTGCCGCCGGCGGCCGGAGCGACGCAGCCCGAGGCGCGGCGCTGCCCGGACACCGCCGCGCCCCCTCCTGCGCGAGGGCTGCCCGGGCGCGCGGCAGGCCCGGTGGGGGCAGCGCTGCGGCCCGCGGGGAGACCCTGYGGTGACTCGCTCCTCCTCCGGAACTTGGCGGAAAGTTTTCCCCTCAGACTCACCGCTCCTGCGCGCCCGGCAGAGCCGGCCGCTCGACGCGCAGGACCCCTTCCGGGAGCCCCGGGGCCACGGAGACCCTGGTCGGAGAGTCCTTGCGGTGGGCAGCCGGGAGGCTGGAGGCCGGTCGCGTGTCCTCGCGGCCCGCTATCCAGGCGCGGGGACGGGGCTCTCTGCTGCAGGAGTGGGTCAACGCGGTGGGGCGCGGCCACCGTGAGGACGCTGGCCTGGAGGCGGGCCGACTGGCCCTTGTGGATTCCAGAGTGAGCCCAAGCAGCGGGCATTTCAGTGACCATTTCAGCGACTGCTGACTAGGCTGCTTGAAACCATTTCTGTCTTAAAGTTGCATAGAGTACCGTTTTCTCCCGCGTAAAATTGTAAGTTGCTTTGGAAGGTTCTGTAGACAACCATGCACTTTGCCGTGACTAAGGCCACCAGGGAGTCACCATAGTGTCTTGGGGACTGAGCATTCACCCTTCTGCCCTGCCCCCAATCTGTAGAATGTTAGTACCTAGTTTTCTTGGCTTTTTTTTTTATTGGGAATGGATTGTCTGCTGGGCACCGGCAGGTGCTTTGCAGGAACTGGGTTGGTCTTTACAGCCTAATTGGAGCACTTCCTGCTGACCAGCTTATCAGGACAGTACCAACCCAAGTCTCAAGTTTGAGTATGGCTTCTCCCTCCAGCTCTCTTAACTGCCTTCTTAGTTTTTGTGTATTTTAGACCCTTGAGATTTTGAGCTCGACACTCTGACTGAGACCCAGCTCTAGGGAACCAGGCTTGTAGCTGTGCTCATGCCAGGACACACCCTTTGGGAAATTAGAGAACTAAGATTAAAGGTTGATCTGCTTGGCTTGTCACTACATTGTACAGGTGGGGAATTTGAGGTCCAGAGCGCAGTCAGAGCTGTGCAGCAGGTGCTAGGAGAAATATTAGCAACAGGAAGAAGCTGGAAGAAGCTGTACCATGAGGCTTCCTATGCACAGAGTGGCTGTTTCTGGGCTTGCTTATGCAAATGTGTTGCTAAAATAGTGGGGCTGAGTTGGCTGGCCCTATCTGGTGCCCAGTGAAGAATAATACCAGCCAACAGCTTCTAGGCTTAGCTCATGCCAGGCATAGTTCTAAAGGCTTTATGTGGGTTTCTTCTCCTAATGTTGTCAACTGCCTAATGAAGTAGGTCTAGTATTGTTCCCACTTTGCTACAAGGAAACTGAAGCACAGGGAGGTTAAGAAACTAACTCAGAGTCACACAACTGGTAGGTGGAGGAGCTGGGAATTTAACCCCAGGCAGTCTACTTCTAGAGCCTGTGTTATTTTTCCCTTGCTTATTTTTAAAATTTTTCTGTTGAAATCTAACATACATACAGAGAAATATAAAACTTGATTTCAGTTTATTGATTGTCACAAACTTTAGAGCATATATTCTTAAGTACTCCACAGGTCATGTATGTATGGGCTTTGGTGTAGACTTGGTCTGAGTCCAGTTTTCTTTGCTGTGTGATCCTGAATGAGATACTTAGCCTCTCTGAGTCTGTTTCTTCAGTGTTCTTGGCAGGCTTGTGATGATTACAGCACGTGATGGCCCCTAGCCATGAATAGTACATGGTAAATGCTCAGTGGTTGGTATATTAACAATTAAAATAATACATTATGTTGCCTTTATTAGGTGGTCTGAATATCTTCTCAGCCTGTTAGTTGCCTTCCAGTTACTTCACAGGTACTTATGACAGTTGGGTTTGGTCACTTTCTAAATGTGGCTGAGACATTTTAGAGAAGAGGGAGCAGTCCATATGTTCAGTCTCCTTAATTTAAAGTGTCCCACTTTTGACTTTTAAACATAACCACCTGAGACCTGTGTAAGTGTCTTGTCTGTTAGGGCTGTGAAGGAGCCTTTGGGGACCTCAACAGTTTAACCCTTTTTGGCCTGGTGTACTGAGTATTCATGGATGAAACCTGTTTAAATAGCATCTTAGAGGGTACCTGGAAGTTGCCATTCATCTTCCAGAGGTATCTAGGTAATTTTTTAAGAATTATTTTTATCTTAAAGAATAATGCATTTCAGAAACCCCAGTTTTTGTGATTTGTCTTTCCACTGTGCATAATGCATATTGGACACTGTTGGTTCCTTTAGGCATCGTGCCTGATGGTGGAGAGTGAGCACTTGCAGTCAGCTTGGGCTAGACCAACACGGCTGCTTTATCACATGTCCCCCTCAGACTCAAGGCTGTGATGTGGTAGCAATACTCAAAGCTCTTTAGGTGGTGGTGGAGGTCACCTAGATCATGGGTGTGAACATTGAGCACAGGGCCCCATGCGTCACATGTTCCTGGAAGGCAGAGCTAGTGTTAATTGTTCATGTAGAGATACTGAGATCTAGCTCTAGCCTGGTCCTTTCTGCCTCAGCCAACACTTTAATTCAAGAATAGAGACTCGCTGCTGGCTGGTGCCTATGAGCCCTCTACACAGCAAGTGGGTTCACATGGAGGTGGCACACACTATGGTTCTCCTCATGTCAAAGGCTGATCATTTCTCCTGACTGGTCCGTGCCTGGGGTTGAGCTGTAGGCCTGGTACAGCAACCATTCCTGGGAGAAAGCTGATAGTGCCACCAGATTTTTTCCCCAGGAAACACAGAGGACCCCCCAGAGGCACATGTTGGGAACAGAAGACTGGCAGGGGGAGCAGCGGGGAGGGGCTGCCATGAGACCTGGAGTAGATCACGCATCTGGCTCAGCTAGGTGGTGTTCCCTGTGTGAAATGCAGTCTACTATCTCCCCCGTGGCCATAGTAAGCTCTGGAGGAGGTGCCAGCTGTCTGCATGTGGCCTTTGTAAGCAGCAGAGCTTCCAGGGAGCCAGGGAATTACAGACCTGGGGTCCAATGCTGACCTTGGCAAGTCACATGCCTCAGTTTCCTTCTCTGTGGGGATAATACTTAGCTGATGGGGTTGAGCCAGGATGGTACATTCAGAGTTGAGAATGAAGCCTAGGACTCATCAAATTGTAGTTTCATGGTGATAACTGGGTGTGGTGTCTGATGTACAGTCCTGGTCTTGTCTTCCTGCAACTTTAGCTCTGGGAATCGTATGCCCTTAGGCCATGACTGAGTAGAGATGGTTTGTGTATGCTTGACCCTAAAGAATGAGGATCTGGAAATTGGGCATGGCTTGGTTGGGGGAGTCTCTGCAGCCAGAATAAGTCCTCTGTTCTTTGAAGGTCAAAGTGAGCAGTGCGGCCCCTTGCTGATGGGTTTACAAGCAGGTTGATCCCCTCAGGACCATCCAGAGAGGAGCCTAGAACAGGAAGGACTGCTCAGGGCCTGTGTTCTGGGCAAGGTGCTAGAAGACATCAGCACATATGGCAGCAGGCTTCTCCCTGAAGCTGCCCATGAGTACGTGTTTTTCCCTTTGAGGACATAACTAAATCATTTGGTTTGGGTTTCACAAATGGTTTTTTATTTATGCAGACTTTCATCAAGACCTAGTCTCACTGCTTTTTAAAGAAAAGAAAATCAGACTGTTGCTTCTAGGTGGGATTGCTTCTCACAGCCCTGTCCAGAGTCGCCCGTTGTTCCAGTCCCTCAGGCAGTTTTCCTTTTTGCCTCGTGCAGAGCTCAGTGTTGGGGCAGGCACATCAAATTCAGATGGTCTTGCTGAGTGGAATAAAAACAGTCTTCCTCTTATCCACATTTCACATCTTGCATGTTTTTTTCTTGTCCGGAAAGTGATTAATCATTGTTAGTCCTGTGTTGAGTGCCTGCCTCCCTGGCAGGGACCACTCCTTCCTCCCCGAGCTGACTGAACTGAGGTTGCTCAGGCCACCGTTGGTGCTGCTGGTAAGTTAAGGATGTGGATTTAGGAAGACAAATGTGATAGGAAGGATTATGTTTCACTTTCCTGACCATCCAGTATGGACAGTGGCGCCTCACTGTCAGGTCTGGTACCCAACACGATATAGGAATGGATGGCCATAGCTTACTTAGTTGCTTGTGTCTGTTGTCTGTGCACGTTGTCAGGAACCCCATGGCAAGGGTTTTCTTCYTCCTGTTGCTGCTTCTAGTGCTCATCTTGTTCTTGGAACATAACCCAACTCTCCACAGAGGTTACTTGGTTGTGACTGTCCCTGAAACATGCCCACCAAAGAACTTAGCAGTTAGTAATATTTAATTCAGCAAGTAATCCATGCTAAGTTTTTGGCAATGCAGTGGTGTCTAGAAATGAGAAAGACTATGCCTGCCTAAAACTTGGAGTCCATTGAAGAGAGACATGAAAAAAGGCATGAAATTTAGTTGTTTTAGGTGGGGTGTGGCCAAAAGGATTCAGGAGGAGGGAAGTCCTGTAGCTCTTGGGAGAGATGGGGAGGGCTTTTCAGGGGAGGTAGACTTTGCAGGCAGTGATAGAGTGGCTCCTTGAGCCACATACTGCTGGAGCCCAAGAACCCTGGTGGCCTGGGTGGGAAGAGTGCACTTGAGAGCGGTCCCATTGCATGTCCGGGCCGAAGATACTGGTGCACAGGAGGCAGAGCCTGTGGGGAGACCATTGCTTATTCAGGCTGTCTGTGTTTAGAATGCATTTGACTTGGAGGCAGGCCATTTGCCTCTGGCCACTTTCCAAAGTCCACCCCATAGCATTGTCTCAGGAATGTACCTTGTTCATACAACCTATCCCTTGTGTAGCATCAGCAATAGGCAGGTGGCCTGAAGTACAGCTTCTGGTTTTATGGCACTAGGTAGAAAGGATTGAAGACAGCTGGCCTTGGTCTTGCTGTGTGTTGGAAGAGGAGATACCTTTTCCCTTTTAGGTTTATTTCTCTGAAGACCAACACTCTGTTCCTGAGGTTTAAGGAACTTAACCCAGACTTGGGACCAATAGAGGCCTCAAAGGTCTCCGGACTTTCCTAGAAGTAAGGCCCTGGGGCTGCTATCCCCAGCTTCCATGGTAGAGGAGAAGGGAATAGGACAGAGGCTATACCAGTTGGCTGAGGGCTCTCTGCCCCTCTTCCTTCTTCCCTGTGCTTTCCTCTTGGTGAGAATCTGAGAAGGGTCCTTGGAGTGCCATGAGTGAAACACAATTGTCTCACTTAACCAGTTTCCAATACTGCAGACATAACTGGCTGCCTTGTTTGCCCAGGCACTGTTTTTCCTAGGAAGGGTAGACTTGCTACACGTTCCTGTCCACTCAAATGCCAGAACTTCTTGTGGGCAAACCCACATCTCTTCTGTAAACAGTTTAGAGCCATCATTTGTAGGTGCTATAGCTCTTTCTGTGGCTTGACAGTTGAGGGAATGGTACATTCCTGGGCACCTACTGTGTGTCAGTGCTGGCTGACTGGGCTCTCACCAGATCTTATTTCTTTTAACTTAGAGCAGCCTGTGAACAGTGTGTTGCTGCTCCTTGTACTGTGGGGGAGGAGGGAAGGTGAGATGCAGAAAGGTGCAGCACCTCACCTGACCTGTGAGCCCCCCACTACTTAAGTTGCAGAGCCAGAACTGCAGTGTTGGAGATGCTCAGCCCTGTATAGTGTCAGGATTTCCTCTTCTTTTTATGGCTCTTTGCCAGTTTGATCCCTTGGAGTGTTGATGGTATTTTGATAACTTTAATTACCTTTAACCTTGTCAAAAATAGCTCTTAACTGTGATTTTTTTGGGAGGGGGTCAGGGTTGTATTTTTCTTTCAGTTAAGAAAGTGTAACCAGGCATGAGGTGCAAGTCTGTAAATCCAGTGACTTAGGAGGCTGAGGCATTAGGATCCCAAGTTGAAGGCCAGTCTCAGCCACTTAGTGAGGCCCAAAGCAACTTAGATCCTATCTATCTCAGAAGATAAAAAGGGCTGGGGACATAGCTCAGAGGTTAAGTGCCCCTATACCCTCTACTCCCCTCCCCCGCCCCCACAAAAAAATACGACTTTCAAATTTATGTATGTTTGAATATACCTGCATCTTCCTTTGTGAATCCTGTTATTCATAACATAACAATTTGAGGGGTTTTCCCAGATCAGGGAACATAGAGATAGTGTGCAGTGGCCTTGCCTTAGGGGAACACATGGCCGTGGACTTAGAAGTTCAGAGCACTGAGCCTTGCACAAACTTGCACCATTTTATACCTGGTGAAATGATTCCCAGATCCTTTTGGAAGGTGAACTGAGTATTTGCTCTATAGGTTTAAGGAATATTTTATTTTTTGTAGTGCTTATGAATTTCACTTTTGTGTCTATCTCTAATTTTGTCTGTATGTTTATCCTGGTGTAGTATAGTATAGTTTTCTAAGAAAAATTGATAATCAATTAGTACAACACTGGGATTAAATAATCCTTCCTACTCACTGGGTCATATTTCATGTTTTTATATAGTTCAGTCTATTTCTGAATTCTGCTTTTTGATTCATTCCTTTACTTTTCTATTTTTGCTCCTGTGCTATGCTGTCTGAGCAGCTCCTTCAGTTTCTAGGAGGGAGGGARAGAGGGAGGATACTCCCCTCCCCCTTTTCTGCTTTAATGAATTTGCTTCTGTCTTGGCACTGACTCCTGAACTTTCAGAAGCTAAGATAACAGCCCTGGCTGCCACTGTTCTTCACTACTGCAGAGCCTCAGCCTCACCCGGATGATAGCAAAAGGCCTCTGGGCCAGGTGCCTACTCAGTGCTTTCTTCCAAGGCCTTTGGTGGAGCTGGGACCAGAATACAGGAACGTCTTGAGTGCAAAGTTCTGTCTTCATTCTGTTCTACTCTGGGGTGTGGATTTCAGTGCGCCATCTGAATTCTTAGGGTTTTTTTTTTTTTTTKG